AGCCTCAACCCTGAAAGGATGGAGTGAGCTGGTCACCCACAGAATGATGTGGCGTAAGGTGCCAGGGTGGCAGTCTGGGGACAGGCCTGCCCGGTAGTGCTCCTACTGCGTGTGGTATGCCACTTCAGTACACCCACTGGGCATGGACCAAGCACCTGAGGACCCCAATGCCAACCCAGAAGGGCGTCCCAGACTGTGCCGGAAGCTCTGAAGCCCCGAAACGCCTCCCCCCCCTCAGCCCTGGCATCTTGTGCCTGCCAGCTACAGCTCGCAGCCCAGCAGACAAGCGTGAGAGCCAAAACCTCAGCCATAGCGCAGACAGATAACCATCAAAACCTATTATGATTATGCTTTCAATTGCAAACATAGATTATATACTGACAATTAAGGCTAAGAGGGCTTTAGGGTTGGATTGTATGTTGTATGTGTAACAGTATGTGTATATCTGTGTAAGCGAAAGAGAGAGAGTGAGAGAGAGCAAGAGAGAGCGAGTGAGAGCAAGAGAGAGCGAGTTTACGCTGAAATCCTTAGCACTCATCAGCTGAGGGGAGGAGGAAGGGGGAAGCATGGGCTGTGGGTAATGACTTTTTAGTTTCGCTAATCCAAAATTAGATCTAAATCCTTTTGGGATTAAGAGCAGGGGCTGCATTTTACATGTAGCCACAGGCCAAATCTTTGGTCAGCCTTTTTTGCAATACCAACTGAAGTGGCTCCTCTGACCTCAGGCAAGCCATACACCATTTACGTCATTTAGGGAGTCCTACACAGCAGTTACATGCATCAACATGAGTATATGTCTGGACATATACTTAAAATTGAACAGCAACAGTAGGTGGTAGACAGAGAAAAGTAGCTTGAAATAAACTGTGTTTGAGAGATGGCCTCTCCTCTTTAGTAATTAGAGGCAAAGGTGCTCTAGTGACTTCTGCTACTGTGAATATACTAAGATTAACAATGACAACACAGCCATAGTGCATGGTTTATATATAAATTTCATACGCAGCAATAAATAGCACGCATATGCTATGCCATACTAAAACGGATGTTCTTCCTATATCAAATCACCACATTTTAAAATGCATCCCTTTTGTAATTCATTACATAAAACAGTCGTAGTCCTGGAGTACCCCTGCCCTAGGGCTGGGCGATAAAACGATAACGATAATTATCGAGATATAACTTTTCCTCGATAGAGCGATACGACATGTTCGATAAATGTTCGATATAATACACCATTCTCACACTTCCACGTTCAGCGAAAGCCTTGGTGGCGTTTTCTACTGCAAGGAAAGCGACACTACTCTGCTGTCACCAGGAGAGGGACGCACTTCCGTGTTTTTCTACATGATTAGAGAGGGAGGGGGCCACGAGTAAGATCAGTCTTTAGCAACGGCTGAAACGCGGAGTTATACATTCCCTGTTTGAGTGGAGCGACCGGCGATCTGTTCTCCTGTGACCGAGCGTGAGTGACGAGGTCAGTGGTGTAACTGTACTGTCCTACAGCGAACTCACCTCTTTCTGTACATCCTAACCAGCTTTAGCAGTGTTAAATCACAATCACAATCCTCACAACTACAGCGCTGTTACAGCGCTCGGACAGTCATATTTAAGTATTAGTGCGTTCACAAGCGACGAAAGTGAAAGAAAGAAGTGGGTTCATGTTCGTTACAGCCCTGATTTAAACGAAAGTAAACTGAGGAAGCTGTGAGGCATCGGAGAGCGGGAGAGCGCTAGCTTTCCAGGCTAGCTGTTTTTAGCAGCTGGCTAACTTGAAGCAGCGCTTCGTCACTCACACAGCACGGAGAATTGATGATACTGTAGATCAAACACGACACAAAAGCACCGCTTTCAGTTTAAACATACCTAAAAAGAGGACTCCATTTGTCTGGTGTTGATATATTGCGGTTCACCACTTAAACTACTACGAGTAGTATAGAGAAATCCAGTCGTTGCTAGCTGGTGTCTGAATACCGTGATGTCATTTGTAACGGGGTAGCCGAGCGCTCGTCACCAGCTAAAAATAAACTGTTTTCTTTCTTAAATTATGACTATTACAAAATAGCCATGCTTTTCCAGCTGGTAAAAACAGCTCACCAGACACTTTCTCCAACTCTCCCATGACAGATTTGTGAAATGTTCCACTGTTCGGTGAGGGTTTGTCATGTTCCGATCATAAAGGATTGTTTAAAACAAAAGTTAACCACCCAGGAGCAAAAATCAGCCTTCAAACTTGAAAGAAATAATGATTTGACATTTATTGCAGTATGTATCGATTTCGAACGATATGAATTTTATTTATCGTGATAACATTTTTGGCCATATCGCCCAGCTCTACCCTGCCCTGCACATTTTAGCGTTTTAAACTTGAAGGTTGGCAATATTTTCAGGTGGATAACTCACATCTAGTCAGTGGGGGGGCAGCTCACTAAACAGAACAGACAGAACCACTGGCTGACTAAAACAATGGTAGTAATAATAACATTTTCCCAAGTACATACTGAATACGATTCAAGTGTTTCCTGTTCTTAACTACAGTTGCAATCTGAATAAGTTTCCATCTGGTCCTGAAAGTTTGTTATTTATTCTGTCAGCTGTTTGCTAATGGTGAACCATTTACCTTTTTCAAACATTTTTATTATCAGATAGACATGTTTTGCTGATTTTGAAGTGAAAATAACAGATTTACTATAGGAAACAAACTTAAATATGGCATGTTCCGGCACATTTTAGTGCGCAATTCCTATTAATTTGCTGATATATATTAGAAAATAGTAAAACATAAAATATGAAATGCACTATACCATTTGCACCAGCCGTATTTTATGTTTTTTTTTTTTTTACTCTGTTAACTTCACAAAATTGTGTTGTGTTTCAAAATGTGCAGAAGTGTGTTCTCACAGAATGTGCACTTATTTTTATTTAGAATATCAACAAAATATTTTTGACCAAGGCACCCAAACTTTTGCACATGCTGCATATGACTGTACATGTAATATAACAGTAATTTTGTTTGTTTTTGTTGTTGATGTATATAAATGTCTAAAATGATGGTAGTACTATATAATGTCAAAGGTTTCGAGTAATTTTCATAAATATGCAAAAAAGTTACATGTCTAAAATAAAGAACAGAGCTTTAGAAGATTCTATAATGAATGGTATAAAGGGGTATAACATTGAGAATAAAGTTACAATAAAATTAATATTCAGCATGTCTTTTTGAAAAGTTTTAATCAAATCTTTAGGCAAAAACTTCACAATTATTGTTTATTTAAAAAAGTATTTATTGTAATAATATAATATTTTTTTCATAAAGTATAGTTTTTCCTAAATTCTACAAGTAACCTTTGTTGTCCATAATTAAAATATTTACCTTGCATAAGTTATTAACAATTAAAATAACAAAAATGACTACTATTCCAAGTGATTTTAGACTTTTAAATGATATTGAGCACACATACATACACACACACACACACACACACACACACACACACACAAAAAAAAACACTGATGTCCAAAGTGAAAATAATTCTCATCCCATAGAATATTTTCAATATTTGGTAACATCAAGTTATTACTCAGCAGCTTGGCAGGCTGAAAGCAAAAAAAAGCATACATGTCCAGGAGAAGGGTTACTCATTATTAAAGACGGTCAGTTCTATCAGTTATTCTTTGGGCACTGGCTAAGAAGCAGAAGCAGGGCTATTTTCATAACCAGTGCCAAACATGCATGTTAAAAAAATCTGTTAGCTAGACAGAGACTGAAAATCAACAGCATAGATTATCTTTGTTGATGGTGGATTAATTTGATACTTCTGACACAGTGAATAGCCTATAGCAGTAGCTAGCAAGCTATATGTCAGAGTGGTCATGTGAGTACAGGTGGCAATTTTTTTTTTCTGGCTGACCTGTTGCTCCCTTTGAGCACATTCTCTTTTCCTTTCAGCTCCACCTTTTCTCATTTTCTTATCCTTTTTTGAAGTTTTGAGTATAAATTGCAATGCTAGGCTAGCTGACTAAGCTAGCTCTCCAGCTAGTTCTACTGCACACCACCATTAATTAAGCGCATACCATATAAACACATACCGATTATTGCGTTCATACTCTAAATGGTCATTTTAGGCCATTCCCATGGTATACTATAGGGAGAGAGCAGGAGAGCAGGTGTGCTGACATATGTATGGATGTGGCTGCGTTGTGCTCGGTTTAGTTCGTCTTTGCGTCTGGACTGAACATCCAGGCCAACTGCCAGGTCAGGCCAAGCCAATGGCCTCCCAATGGCCAGTCTAGGCCTGCTCTCCGGATTAGAACAAAATCCTTTGGTATCAATGCAGTGCTACCAGCGTTATCCACCGAAATAAGTTCTTTCCTGCTGTGACGCAACAATGATTTGCCATATACTGGAAATTGTCACCGCTTGTAACCAAGTTCTCCAGATTTTTCAGACATTTTTCCCCAAATGGAAGACTTCATCCTGCTGTTGCCTGCAGAAAACTGTCACCATTTGTTCTGCTCCCACTCCTAACCTAAACATTTTAGTCTGCTCCCACCCACAGTCCTGTAGATTATTAGTAGTTATTTTCCATCTGCGTTAGTCATGACTGAAAATGTCAGTCTTGCGTGTAGACGCCTTTATTATTGTGTGTTCGTCTTTCTTAAGAGCACTTTCCACAGTTGTGGCTGTCTAACTGTCTGAAGGCTCCTACAAGAATGCAATTTGCACGTTGTTCATTGGATTGGTTGTTAATTTTCATTTTGCTGTTATATATTATTTATATATACTAATTATTAAGTGACTTTTATCATTTATTTAGACTATTCATTAATGTGCAGCATTTAATGTGCAGCATTTTTCTACGTGTATGTGCTGTACCGCTCCAGCCAGCAATGGGCTGATCAATCAACCACTCCCACATACAACACTGAAAATTAGTCCCATGCCCCAAGATATTGTGGCAGACCATCTTAGGGCTCCTTGAAAAGATACAGGAGGTTCCTACCTACAGACAGTGTAGCAGAGGGTCCCGCTGGCCCCTGCCCCCAGCAGAGCACACAGCACATTAATGCTGTGTGCAGGAGAACTGCCTGGCAATAGGTGAAGGGCTAGAAAGGCCAGCATGGTGAAGAGAGGGTATCCAGGGGGGTGGGCCACCTGAGAAAAAACACAGCATTAAAAAGTAAAGATAACAGTTTAGGTCAAGAGTCTAAGAAACCTGATCTACTCATACCTTCCCATGCTCTTCCTGCTCTCTGCTAGAGGGCAGCCCCATGTTCACGAGTTATGGTTTGGTACTATTCTCCATATCACTTGCACACACACAGACAGGTAGGCGCACACGCACACATCATCTCCTCCTCCCCTCCCGATCACCCTCCAAAACCCTGATCTCCTGTCTCCTTGCCTTCCCAGCAATTAGGCACTAAGTCCCCTCAGGAGCGATAAGGGGCTGAGCTATTAAAGGCTGTCTCACTCCTACTGGCCTGATAACACACACAGTCACGGCAGGCTGAGAAAACGTAGCACACTCTAGAGCACGGAGATGTCTGAGAGCAAGCGGAGGGGGGTGGGGTGGGGGGGGGGCAAGGGAGAGAGAGAAAAAGAGAGAGACTGAGAGAGAGAGCTGTTTGAAGATAGGGAACCCTCAAGAAAACTGGAAGAGTATGACCTAGTGAGTTCAACGTGGCAGTTAGGACCACAATCAGCCGTGCTCCATCTACAATCACTGACCGCAATTTACACTAGAGCTACAACTAACAATTAACTTAATTCTACATTATTCTGATTAATTATATCTTCTGCGCTTTCTTCTTACTTTGCTCCTGTCACAGTGCCACCATCCTTCTAAGTTCTGTCACTGCAACAATTTCTTCTTTGATGGTATAATAAAATGACAGAAGCCTTATCGCCCCCTACACTTCCTGTAGCGTCTTGCAGAATGACTTCAAGTGTCCTAGGAACATTACAAAGCATCACAGAGTACTTTTATTTTTAACCCTTTAAGGTTGACTCAAAAATGTGGTTATTTCTTCCCATTTATCTACTGTTTTCCATTAACAACCCGATTTCTGAATGCTGCTGTTGCATTTATTTGATATGTAAAGAATGTGATCTAACAAAGCTGTAAATTCTAGGATTTTTATTTAGTTTATGTCAGAAAATACCATTTTCAACAAGAAAGCATATGATAAGGTATATAATTAGTGCTCTGTCATACCGACCCAAGTTATGCTCTGGACAAGCTCACGCACTCGCTCATGCATCCAACAAGAAATTAACCCTTGTACATATTTTATACAGCAGCAGAAATTAGCTCCATTTAACTACAGAGTGAAACTGATAAAATGATTTTACTGTTACAAATGGGGTCATGCATGAGGCATAATCAACATTGTTGACATCTAATTGACTCGACTAAGCACTGCAGCTGTAATTTACACAGATCTGTTTGTTTTTAGCTCTAGACAAGGGGTACACCCAGTTCACTGGAGAGATAGAGAGAACAGAAATGTTATACGACTAGTAGAGGGACAGAGAGTGAGAGAGAGAGAGGACAGAGAGAGGACAGAAGAAACAGAGACAGTATGGCAAACAGATGGTAGGGTCAGGAAGGGCACTCTGCCGTGCCAACAAGGTGAGCATGAGGTGGAAATGGAGGCGTGCGTGTCTGTGTGGTGTGTATATGTGCATGTTGTGTGTGGCAGAAATGCTTCCACTTGTATGGTGAAGATATATGACATCATGCAGGGCATGCTTGTTGTGAGAGTGCATGCCGAAGGAGAAAAGGTGTTATTGTGTCTGTGTGTGTATGTGCGTGTGGTACAGTAACAGACGTGCAGAACACACAGCTCGAGAACCCTGCCGCGGAGAGCTTTAAGGCAGAATGGATCCGGGACTCCAGGGAGCAGGAGGGGAGGGCCGCCGGCCTTCTGCCCCGGAGAGACCCCTCTAACCCTGGGGAGAGCCGGCAGGCAAGCAGGCCACACGGACAGAGGGAGGGATTACTGGCATACTGACACTGCCACAGCCTCCCTAAAAGGATCATGGCGGCGTAATAAACTTTATTAAATAATAAAACTTATTATAACTGGTAACCCGATTTAGTTCATTCTTTGCGGCTTACACAGGCACACACACATACACGCACAAAAAGAAGAGGGGTTGGAGTATAATAAGCCTTATACCGTACATAAGGCAAAGCCTACAAAAGCCATTGCCTTACTATTCAGTCTAATTGGATTTGAAGAACAGGGTTGCAAATTATAGCATTCTCTAGTCCTAACTTAGTAAAAAGAAGTGCATAAAAAAGGGGGTGAAGAAAAAAACCTGTAGCCTGAAAAGTAAATTAATCAGCTTTTTTTCTCCCCCCATACTTAATTAAACTTCCTTAATGCTTATAAGAGTTAATGAGTGAATTGATTAAACAATACGGCTAATGCTTACCCCCAGCTCACAAGCAGCGGTGATCAGCTCTCCTGTGGTAGAAAAACAGAGAGGGAAATTAATGTAAACCCAATAATTATTATTAAGAGACAAGTCCGCTCCCGAAAGTTTTCCCAAATCAAATACTTGCACTGGGGTTTTGCATTAATTTGCCCGGATCAAAACCTGCAAATCTTCCCAGTGTGACATTTCCTAAGCGACACGCTCATTCTCTTCCATCGCGTGTGCTCCCCTGATCCCCATGCAGACACAGGCGCACACACACACACAGGCAAGCGCATTCAGTCTTCCCATACTCCCCAGTCTGCAACAGAGTACACTGCACATGTTCCACATGCACACACACTCACATACTCTCTCTCTATCTCTCTCACATACACACACACATCTAAAAGCTAAAAGCTGAAAGTTATTACTTGCAATGGTTACAAATACACTGCCAGACACTGTTTTATGATTTATCAATAAAGTTTTGTCATTAAATGTACTTTAAATGTATTTTTTAATCTATTGATGGCAGACACGTACATGCAGGGCACTGTGAGGTAAAACAGTACCCAAAGAAAACTTTTTTTTTTTATGACTTTTATGTATATAAACTGAGAAGACACATAAATGTTAAAACCACTGAAATGCAGGAGTTTTCCTCTTCAATGCCTCGCTGAATATCAGCCCAAAGGAGTGCAAGAGCAGAACTGAATATTGACTCTAGCTGCACACTCTCTCAGGCTGTAGTTTGCATGTGAATCTCTTTCTTAACAAATTAACTTGTTACCTGTTTCCTGGCAACAGCTAGTCATCTGGCTGAGTGCTGGTAATTAACACTAAACTGTGCCATCTATTGGACAGAGCAGGTGGTGTCATATGCAAGTGTGTGTGTACTGCTGGGGCACTTCAATTCCAAGAAAGAGGGAGAAGGTGAAACGAAAGACAATTTTTTAGTAAACATTCTTCATTTAAACTACTGTCCTGAGTTCTCTTGGTTAAAGGTTGTAAAGAGATCTGTAAAGAGACCAAAACTCAAGATGTGGTTAAAATCTGAGAAATGCTGTCTGATGCAACACTGCCTCACCACTGGAAAATCCTATAAACTATGTTTTCTGATGCAACCCTAAATGTTCAGTGCATCACTGAATTCTGAAATCGTTAGCAGGCAGTTCCAACATTTCATTGGCGGTTGTCTGTTTTGTTGTCATGTTGGAACTCCTCTATCTGTGTGTGCAGGCCCCTCACTCTTCAGTGCCGGAATTTTCTTTGCTTTCAGGGTTCTGTTTAGAACAGGCCATGAACACAAACACATCAACTCACACATGTTGAGGTCAGGCCTACTGCATCTCCAACTGCACAGCTTTCTTTTTAATCACATTTTGTCATGGTATAGACACCGACAGGTGAAGTTATCTCTCATTTCTTTTTCGCCATATGATGCTGTAGTCTGAAGCAGCAAAGCTGGGCCTGGTCGTGAGGAGCAGGTTCTAAAAAAAGCAAAGTGGGGGAAATGCAGTGAAAGCGGGGCAGCAGTGGAAGGAGCCAAGTGTCTTTGTGATAGCACAGCACTGGGCACCCACAACAGCCTTTCTGCCCCTTAATCCCCATCATTTCCACACTCGCATTCCTAGACAACAGCGGTCCCGCGGGGCGCCCGCTCAGCCTCTCCAGGGCGCAGCACACCTAAAGGGATTAGGGCTGCGAGACGGAGACCTGGAGAATTTCTGCCGAATATTCAGCTGGCTCTATCGCACCACCATCCTGCACTGTCCCTAAACGCCACGCTCAGGGGCTACAGCGTTTTTTTTTTTTTTTTTTTACCCCCCTCCAAAAACACCCCTCATACCAACATTCTCCCCTCAACCGCCACCCCGGATTCATAGCAGGGGAAAAGCTAACAAAACAGCTTTTCAGCTTTTTGTATGCCTGACACTTTCTTTTCTGACCTAGCTTGTTGAAAAGAAGCTTTTCTTTTAATAAAAGCTTGGCTCAAGCATATTTCTGTGTTTACACTATGTAAGCCTGGCCTTTGTCAGTCCACACAACTGTGGTCAACAAAATACATGGGGGCCCTAACCTGCAGGAGTCTATCCTCACAACTCTCTTCTGACACATACATATGAAAGGCATGCCGGGTGTTGGGACACTCTGACTTAGTGGCTGGTTTTTAGATTTTGACTGGCTGTTTCTGTGTAGTATGCAGTGCTCAGATTTTAAATTGGTCTTTTTGGTATAACAACTGTGATTCTTTACAAAAGCAACAATGGCATTTGGATCTGGCATTGCTATGCATATTTCTAGAAAAAAGACATCCAAAATATCAGATAAATTGAATTATTATTGAATCATTACAAGGCTGAAAGTGTTACACAATAACTTACACAGAACACAGTAGCAAAATAGAAGATAAAGAACACAGCAAAGGGCCACAGCATTAGGTGAAATGCTGGACAAATTGCTGAATTATAGGTGTTTGCTCTTGGGACAAGGAGCTAATGGTGATGCTGTCCTCAGTTCAAGTAGGAATATTCCTGTTTTTGCTGGCATGCATAGACACATTTTCATGCAGTGCATATTTCCAGTCTTGAACACAGCTCAATAATTGCAAAGATCTAGTTGCTCCAACACTCCAATGACACTTAATATTGAATGCAGCTAGTCATAGTCATAAATTAGTCATAAATGACTTCTATTACTACTTATAAATGATCTAAGGATCTGACAAGTGAACTGAGTTCACTTATAAGTTCATAAAGACGAGTAGATTTACTAAACAAAATGACCAATCAAATGTCTTGCATTGCCTTGTTTCTGCATTCCCTGAGGAAGCCAATAGTGGCTGGTGCATCCTGAAGCTTACCTGACCCATTTAAACGCTATATTTTTAGCAAGTACACTTTCTCTAAAGTCTGACTTCTGAGGACCTTATGCACATAATATATATATGGCATAACATTATTACCACCTCCTTGTTTCTACGCTCATTGTCCATTTTATCAGCTCACTATATAGGTGCACTTTGTAGTTCTACAATTACAGACTGTAGTCCATCTGTTTCTCTGCATACTTTGTTAGCCCCCTTTTACCCTGTTCTTCAATGGCCAGGGGGGTCCTCTGTGTGTGTTGTGCTGGTACGAGTGGATCAGACACAGCAGTGCTGCTAGAGTTTTTAAACACTGTGTCCACTCACTGTCCACTCTATTAGACACTCCTACCTTGTCAGTCCACCTTGTAAATGTAAAGTCAGAGATGATAGCTCATCTGCTGCTGCACAGTTTGTGTTGGTCATCCTCTAGTCCTTCATGAGTGGTCACAGGACGCTGCCCACAGGACGCTGTTGGCTGGATATTTTTGGTTGGTGGACTATTCTCAGTCCAGCAGTGACACTGAGGTGTTTAACAACTCCAGCTGTACTGCTGTGTCTGATCCAGTCAGACCAGCGCAACAAACACTAACATTCCACCACCACATCAGTGTTACTGCCGCGCTAAAAATGATTCACCACCCAAATAGTACCTGCTCTGTGAGGGTCCACTGGGGTCCTGACCACTGAAGAACAGGGTAAAAGGGGGCTAACAAAGTATGCAGAGAAACAGATGGACTACAGCCTGTAATTGTAGAACTACAAAGTGCAACTATATAGTAAGTGGAGCTGATAAAATGGACAATGAGGGTATATATATATATATACACACACACAATTATGTTTATGGTTTTGTCCCGCCCTGACAAGAAATTCAAGTAATCAGATTGGCCTGCATTCTCACAAATGAGCTCTGATTGGCTCTCTCTTTATATAGTAGTCCTGGCATATTGCCTGTACAGACTGCAAGATAATCTTTACATTCCAAGAAAAATGCGCACAAATCTTTACTGACAAAATGTTTCCTTGTTAACAGGAATGTTTTAAATGTGAAAACAAAATAGAAGGTAGTCCCTCACCAGAGATTGATGAAATTAATGTTCTCGAGGCTTGCCCCACAGCCTCATACACATTTAAAAACGTAAATACAACATTTAAAAAGACCAACATTTTGAACATATAAACAGTATTTAAATTCTAGTGATAATATAGACATTGCCACCCTTGTTGAACTTTATTTACTGCTGTCAATTGGTTTGATTCACATTCAACTCTGGGATAAAACTGGCCACAACTCGGCAGTATCCAAAAAGATGAATGAAACTTCCTTTCTTATCTGCTTTGCTTGATTTTACCTGATCTGTAGCCCATTGACTCTGTAAATATACTGTCAGAGCTGACTAGCATGTCTGCATCTGTTTCATGGCTACTGCAAAATCAAGGAAATAATGGAATTAAAGTTGCTATCAACTGTTCAGACGCAGCCTTTGACTCCTACAGTCTGATGAGCATAGTGGCGTGTTATTAGGAGTGAACACTGCAGTGCACTGTGATCATCTCTGCCCTAGTAAATGTCTGAATGCTCAGTTAGTTTAATACCTACAGAACAAGGGGTCGATTTGAGACACACAAGCTTCATCAATTGGTAGATTTATACTGCCTCAAACAATCAGGCTGGTGATGCGCCCAGATGGGAAACATTCGTGTTTTTCCACAGCCTCATAGTTTTTCAGTTTTTTCTCAGGCTAATGACAAAAGGTGCACACTTCGGGCTAAAGGCGGGAAGAGTACAGCACAATCGTGCAAGGAAGAGCTGCGCGCGCTGTGTAGAGCGACGCTCTGATTGGCTGCATGTGTATACAAACGCACGTGACACCTCGAGCCTACCTGAGTCTCCACCGGGGACCGTCCGCTGGATACTGGGCAGGTACAGCGCCGTAACACCGGCTACTGTCGCTCCTGTCAAAGTCCACGACCACCTGTCCGCCGACATCTTAAGCGTTTGCCCGCCGTCTACCCTGTTTATACACGTGTACTGTTTTCTATCGGCTCGAGGAGCGTTCAGCTTCAGTACGACTACAGAAATGATATGTCTGTGGCTACTAGCTCCGGTTTTTCTTGCCAGAAAAGAGTTGTTGTACCAAAATACAGAATAATAGCAAGCTAAGAAGCGAAGCTACGACCATAACAGTATTAGCATCTAGCTAGTTTTTCAAAACTCCCTTTTTGCCGGTAAAGAGAGCTGTTGTATCAAAATACAGCGCAGTAGAAAGCTAAGAGCAGGAGAAGAAGCGGAGCAGCTGCTCCTACGACCACAGCAGTATTAGCATCTAGCTAGCTTTTCAAAACTGTTGAAACTCGAGCCTCAGAAACGCGTTGCTTTATTTCGCGCGCGTCCGGTTCATAATTCGCGCCACATCCTGCTTTAATCTTCAAGTGAGCGTCTCCGCGGTTGAACCATCCCTCCCAGACTGCAGGTTTGCGCTGAGTTATCAGAGACCGCTGCGCTATCATGCCGAGGTTTGTGGTTAATTCCGCTTCCTGCTCTGGCCGCTCTGTCGTAGACGGAGGCTGCACAGGCAGCGTGGGAGCTCGACTCGAGTGGGGGTGTTGCTCTGTTCTGAAAAGATCAGAGACGAGAGCAGACAACACTAAAATGTAGACGAAAACACTGAAATGTTGCGTGATCAGGTTCACAGTTAACGTTACGGTCCTCTTGCATATGCACTTACATACACACCGAAACTCACTGTTTGTTTAAACAAATAAACTGTCATTCATCCATTGCTCTGTGAGTAAGAAGCTACTTCCAACAGGTTCCACAGTTAATTCCTAGTACACTGTTTAGGTCCCCAACAACACACAAAGCAATTCAGTGTCTTCACCCTCTGATCAAAGACGCAGAGTACGTACTTCATTACTGATTCTGCTTGTAAGATGTGGCTATAATGCTGGATCGATAATCTAAGAGAAAAGCGGCTGTGAGTACAAGATCTGCACTCATGCTGAGAAGATTAATGACCGGCGCTGAACGCTGATCTGTAACGTTAGTGCATTTTATTATTATTTTCATCCACTTCAGACACACTCAGCTTGGTGTTACAGCTGGACTAAATGAGTTTCCGACTAGGTTCTCTCACAAAATATTATTCATTTACAAGAAAATATTACCTAACTCGGGTACAAGGGCCTAACTTACTCATTGATGTGAATAAGTCAATTCAACAATGCAACGTCATTTTGCATCTGTATGGTAAATTTGTAACATCAGTTCTTCCGTCACAATTATTACATAATCGCCTAATCGCAATTATTTGACTGCAATCATTTTCAACAGTAAATTTTACAGTTATTTTGTACTGCAACAAACAAAACGTGAGCTGAGTGTGCTGGATTGAGGCAAATACCTGTTAATAAAAGAAGGCATTAAATGAACTCATCAGGGACTTACGAAAACAAAAAAGTTCTTACTACTAGCTTGGTGCTCTAACTCGTTTAGAGGGCAGCGCTGAGCAATGTTAGTTTATTTATTTGTTAGCTATGCAGCTAATTCTCACGTTTTTGAATGTATGCTGGCAGAATGAATGTTTTTGCTTGTTTTCACTCTTGTGAAGAACAAGTAGCTTTTCTTACCTCTGAACATAATTCTGTCTAACTGTAGATACTGTTATATTGATTCAACAGTACAATCAGTGTCACTAAGTAAATATAGCTAACAAGTAAGGTGTCTAATCAGCCAATTTGGCCGCTTTAGGCTTGCATTGTAATAGGCGCAAACAATGATCAAAAGGACAATTAAATTGATAATCGCAAATAATCACGACAATTAATTTCATTATTGTGTCAGCCCTAACAACAGCGGAGACCGCATCAGCAAAACAGTAAATGAAATCACTGTAACTGATCCAGGATCAGGATCAGGATCCAAAGATGTGCAGATATTTGTATATCCACTTTATTAGAAACACCTGTACACTTACTCCTTCATGCAATTATGTGTGGCAGCAGTGCAGTGCATAAAATCATGCACAAACAGGCCAGCATCTTCAGGTAATGTTCACATCAACCACCAGAACGGGGAAAAAAGTAATCTTGTCCATGGTATGATTGTTAGTGCCAGATGTTTGCTCAGAAGTGCAATAAAGAAAAAACATCCAGTGAGCGCCACTTCTGCAGACAGAAATACCTTGTTGAAGGGGGTCAACGGAGAATGGCCAGACTGGTTCGAGCTGACAAAAAAGGCTATGGTAACTCAGACAACCACTCTGTACAACTGTGGTGAAAAGAAAAAGCATCTCAGAATGCACACGTCAAACTTTGAGGCAAATGGGTTTCTATAGTAGAAGACCGTGTCAGGTTCCACTTCTGTCAGCCAAGAACAGAAAGCTGAGGCTGCAGTGGACACAGGATCTCCAAAACTGGATAGTTGAAGACTGGGAAAATGTAGCCTGCTGTGATTAATCTCATGGTAGGGTCAGAATTTGGTGCCAACAGCATGAATTCCTGGTTCCCAACCTGCCTTGTGCCAACAGTTGAGACTGGTGGTGTGGGGAATGTTTTCTTGGCACACCTTGGGCCCATTTATATCAATTCATCATCACTTGAATGCCAAGGCTTATTTGAGTATTTTAGCTAATCATGTGCATCCTTTCATAGCCACAATTTGCCCATGTTACTTCCTTCATGAAGGGTGCACTTCCTTCATGAAGTGCACCATGTCACAAAGCAAAAGTCGTCTCAAACTGGTTTCATGAACGTGACAGTAAGTTCAATGTTCTTCATTGGCCTTCACAGTTACGGAATCTGAATCCAGCAGAACACCTTCAGAATGTGGTAGAACAGGAGTTTCGAAGCATGAAAGTGCACCTCAAAAAATCTGCGGGAATTGCATGATGCAATCATGTTACCATGGACCAGAATCTTAAAGGAATGTTTCCAGTATCTTCTGGAATCTATAACATGAAGATTTGCTTCTGTTTTGATAGTAAAGGGAGTATTACACAGTATTAGTATAGTGTTTGTAATAAGGTGCTCGGTGAGTGTCCATAACAGTCTGTCCAAAATGTTGTTGTTGAAAATGACAGCAGCTAGGCTAACTTACCATTTACTTACCATTCCAGCACTTAGCATTACAGCACATTTAAAGTAGCTAACATTTACTTCATAAATTTGCTTTTGCTAAGCGAAAGCAGATCTCCAGCTAACTAACCACTCATCATCTGTGGTTTGCGCACTATCAAACCAGTCTGTCCCAAACAGCTAAAAAAAAAACGGCTATTACTGTGAATGTTAACCTGTCTAATCCCAGATAGCAAGAGGATAGCAGGCCACTGTTGGCCCATTGATGGCAAAGCTGGCAGTGTTTTTTGGGCAGCCCACTGGTGGTTAAGCAGAATATAAGACAAAATGTCACTTTTCAGTGCTCATTTTCCACTCATAATCTAATTTGTTCATTTGTTCTTCATTTCTTTCTTTTATTATCCTTTGTAAATTAGTTTAGTAAATAATTTTAATAGCAATATTGTAAATAAAGCCACTTCTACAGCTGTAAACAATCTAGTACATTGTCAGCAACAACATTCAGCAGTCATTTTATATTAGGCCTAGTTACAAATTTATATTTTCTTTCAGTTGTTTTGTAATATTTGTAGCTTGTACACTGGAGAGTAATCTGGGTGGTCTAAGGGTGGACCAACAGTGTATGCAGTCAGAAGAGTGCCCAACTTTTTAAGCCAGCAGGCTGATAGATGATTTCTGGGATTATGGAACAATGCAAGGATATCTGGCTAGCTATAGTCAGCTATCCAGACTGACTAAACTGACAAGGAGTTAATTTATGTTAACATTATTAAGCCACAATAAATTGGCATGAATTGAAGTTGATTATCAGAATTACTTAATCAGGATATACAATTACTACAAGTCTCAAGATATTTATGTTCATAAAATAACAACATAAGAAGGAAACAATTTTTCTTACCTGTAGCTAGAAAAAGCAGGGATCAGCATGGCTGGCCACCGGTAAAAACCAATATATGTTGTGTTTTGGATATTGGTATGCTGCTTAACCAGCATGACTGTGCTGGGTGACCAGCTAAACCAGCATGAACCAGCATAAACCAGCTTGGAATGTAATTCATTCTGGTCTGTGCTGTTTTTTTCAGCAGGGATGACTGTTGGATCTGTTGGGGTTCTGTTAGATTAGATCTGTTAGGCTCGTACTGATGCGTTAAATTTATTTTGGATTTTGAATTTTAAATTGAATTGTATGAGTGGGCTGCAGTAGATGCTGCTGCTCACGATTAAATGATGATTAAAACGTCAGAACTCACCTTAACCAAAATTAGGATGATGGGCAGACCTACTAGTCTGCTCATTATCAGCAAGGTATCAGTTTAATGAGAAATAAGAATGATTGGCTGGAAACGCTTTTCATACGTATGGTCGTGGTGCCATTTACACAGTTTTTTTGCTTTCAGTCATTAAATAATGCATTTTTGAAGTGCCCCATTTTGTATTACAAAATGTTTCCCCAACCTTGCATGCAATAGTGAAGACGAAAGACTGTTCTGATTCAGGAAACTCAGTCCAGTTTTAAGCAATTTCAGCTCTTCATCTAATTAACATTCCATGCTAATTTTCCTGTCCTTTTCTGAAAAACAAAATGCCTAGAAAAAATCTAAATATGAGTAGATTACGGATCGTATTACTATACATAGTTTAGCTACATTTATATGTTTCATATTAACTAAGCATAAATATTTTAAACTTTTGTGAGTTCTGGTAAGTAAATGTGATTTCAGTCTTTGTGATATTTGGAGCTCATCAGTTTTCCCTGCTTGCTAGAATGTGGATAATAATAAAACACAGTCTGCTTCTTGCATGGATAGTTTAGTCTTCTAATGGCTGTCTGCAACTAAAACATCATGGCTGAAGGCTGAACGGAACAGGCCAGGAGCTGGTCTGACCTACATCCTTGAGTAGTGTGTGGAGTTCACTTAATGCACAATTAACTGTGCTAACATTTCTTTGTGGCATTGCTTGCAGGAGGTGGTTGTGGTATGTGGACCCTTCAGTGCCACATAAGTGGTGAGGTTCACAAGTTGAAGGGTTCCCCTCATGAAAATGTCATGCTAGACTGATCAGTAATCCCGCTCTATCTTAAATGAGTCTGATCCTTGCCTAAATTGAGAGCTTGGAGAGGTAGAGATGTGTCAGCACCTCAGAATTTCTAATCCCCCTCTCTCCCCTTCTTACTACCATCCACACTGTCTAATCAGTGTTTAAGCCCCCCACTCAACCCAAACACACACTCACACTCTCCCTGTCTGTCCTCACTCTCTTCTTCTCTCTTTCTCTCTCTGTCACTCACACACATAGCCTACGCTTTCCACATTCCTTTATGAATTTCAAAGTATTTGTGGTCCAACATAAGGCAGTCTTAATTACTCAAATTTAATCATGTCTGTCTTTCTTGGAATTATTGTTCACTCACAGCAGTATACA